TAACACAAGAAATATTTATTCGCGATATTACAGTATGATACGTATAATACAATCCGTGCTTATTGAAACGTTGGGCGAAAAGACATCAACTTGAGGCCTTTTTTTAGCAAAGAAGTATTCGTAGACAAACAAATCTACTGTAGAAGTTTAAAAAAAATTATATAAAAAAGCTAATCTACTGTATACACTAATCATTTTATTTTCTGAGAGGTAAAAATGATAAAGGAAGGGAAAAAAATATTGATTCAGTAAATTAATAAAGGCTTCCCTTGTGAAGAACTGAAGATTGTACGAAGTGAATTATAGAGGTTATGAATCTGTACAGTAAAGAGGGAGGGCTGAAACAAAACAGACCTGTACCCCTCTGTGTTTATGTATGTGTTGAAGAATGAATGAATCATCAAAGAGCCTTTTGATCAAGACGCTCGTTCCAATTTAAGCAACGGATTAAGCTTCTAAACCAGTCACCGGTTTGATCAGATTTGTTGACAGTTGGGAGTGGATGTTGGCTCATGTATATTCTCACCGAATCTCCCCTTGAAAGTTGTTGCCTTCTCTTTCCATCAAACGAAACCCATGCGTTGCTTCGAGCATCATCTGGAATCTGTTATTGTTTTAGACATAATTTGTCAGCATTTCAAACAGCAACCATAAATAAGGTTTTCATGAGCTTAGAGCATTTTTTGGGTGGTTCTAATTACCTAACAGGGAAAGTGTATTTGCTCTAAAGATCTAAAGTCTAACCTTTAGTTCAAGCTTTGCAGAATCTGGAAGTATAACTGGTCTGAACGACAGGGAATGTGGGCAGATTGGAGTAAACAGCATGCAAGGAACGTTTGGATGCACCTGCCATTTTCGGAAATCATAAGTGTCATATAGAAAAGGGTTGCGCACTCACGTTAACTGAAATTGTAAGCATAATACTTCTCATAGTTGACAATCAGGTAAAATATTTTGGTATGCAATGCAGGGGTTGAAAGTAACTCTTAAGTTAGCTTACCATGGAACCTCCTGCTGCTGTAGAATAAGCAGTACTTCCTGTAGGAGTGGCTACTATAACTCCGTCACCTTGTACCTATAATAACATTATTTTTCAAAACACAAGAACAGTAAACTTTTATCAATGAAGTGGAATTTTGACAACATGCAACTGAGATATTCTCACTTGCTTAAGAATTTAGATATTTATGGTACGAAAATAAACTAATAGGGTACAAACCTTGGTGATAAGACGGTCGTGTTCATAACATTCGATTTTAGAAAGGTATGGATTTGATCCTCGATCAACAACAATCTCGTTCAGAACATCAAACACTTTACCAGGCATTGCTTTGCCTTTACGATAAATTTCGCAACGTAGACGCATTCGAAGAGTTATATAAACCCCATCTAGCGTGTTATTCCCATGGATGACTCGTTTGAGGTCTTGCCTGAAGTCCTCAAACTAAATGGAAAAAGATATTAAAAAAATAAGAAGGTTGCCGAAAGGAAAAGAATACTAAGGCATAGTAACTAAACAGAGCATGTCGAAAGGCTTACTGGATGTGAAGTGAGAAATCCAAGGGAACCCAGATTAAATGAAACGACGGGAGGGACAGCTCCTTTGAACAAGTTTGATGCATGTAATATCACCCCATCCCCTCCTAAGCATGCCACAAAATCAACCCTTTCATGGAGATCGCTGATATTCAAACAAAGCAAAACAATGTCGATCATAATCGAGCTGTTGATAGTCTAGCTGATGACCACTTAACTTATTCTTGTACCTCGTGTCCTGAATGTAAAAGGTCTGGACAAAGCCAAACCCTGGAATCCTGGCAAATACATCATGCACCTCAGGTTCGACCAGTACATTCATCTTCTCTTGGTGATACAAGAAAGATGCAGCCTGAAACCAAATTCGAAAGAACAACAACTTTTCATTAGTATCCTAAATTTCAGGCAAATTTGATGCACAACAGGGGGTTATATAATCTTCTAGGTTTGAAAAGCAAAGCGTTTACCTCTTTAGCTTCTTCCATGAGTTCTAGCCCGAGCTTCTTTAGCAGTAAAACAGTTTTTGGGGTAGTTTTCCAAAGAAGCATTTGTTGTTGAGTACTTGGATGTGTGAAGGCTAGCGAGGATTCAGTTACCTTCTCCCTTGTACAAGATACTCCATCGGTTCGGACTAAGAACATCTCTGCTTTCTTTCTCGACTGCACCCTTACTACACCAGTGGCAGAAGCACACATATTTCCCTCAATTCCAACAGCTTCATCATCACTGGAATCCGACGAAGAAGCACTATTGTTTCTCTGAGACTCTCGAACAGATTGTGAAACTACAGGGCCACTTGAGTTATCACTTGGAGCCACAACAATAGGCTCTGCAAAGAAGCCATTTCCCCTGTTACCCGACATACTTGTATTGCTGTCATCAGAAGCATGCACATTTCCATTTGGAACCTTCCCATTGCTAAAATCTAAACTTTGAGACCTTGCAGGTAGAAGGGTTCCATTGGAGTTTCTTGTCTCTGCAAGTCCTCCTACGGAATCTTTATCAGCAATATGATATCCGTTTGTCACTCCAGTATATGAAACTTGCGGAGATGGCACTATTCCAAGTTTTTTGGACTGATTACTAAGATAACCAGCAGGAGCAATACCTTTGCTCCTCATGAATTTATACATCTCTTTTCTTGAAAAAATATTGCTTGGTGGAAGTTGAGCTTTAAGAGGATCACTCACCATATTAAATTCAGATGCAGAAGTATCTCCCTCATTGCTTCCAGATTTTTTGCTCTGATTTGAAACAGAGCTATTATCAATCTCATTGATTTCAGGGACTTTATCAGTATGCTGATCAGGCACACCCTTACCAGATACTACAACATTCAATCCAAGCATAGTTTCAGACACCTCCCGACGCTTTGACTCTTCAGAAACTGGAATTTCTTTCGTCACTGGACGTGTCATGTACTGTTTCCACCTGGAAACCATCGCAGACGTTCTCCAAACACCTTCTTTACTGTGAACGTAAATTGGCCTTTTGCTGCTGTCTGATACAATAGAAGCAAACAGTTCGACCTGCTGAGCTAAAGGGGCCATCCTGACTTCAATTGGAATTTTCACCAATGTCACTTTCCCAAGGGAAATTGCATCATCAAGTGCTGCCTGATAGAATGTATCCTTCACGTTTTCAGCTCTCAGGTCAACAATAGTTTTAAATCCTTTTTCAATTAACCACTTCAATCCTTCTTCCGTTACCTGCCCTCCCCTCCAAAATGCAATCTCAGACTCGTAGGAATCCGCATCCTCTTTCGCGTTTGATGCGTAAATAGGGTCCCAATTCGCAAAAAGTGTTTGGCAAGGATAATTATCACTGCGTGGAAAACCTGCGTCGTAACAGACATTCTTAAGCTTCTGTAGTTTCCTCCAGACAATTCCACTTCTTTCATCATCGGGGGTCAGATAATTCTCGAGGGCAATGTGTAAGCTTTCACAACACCGTTTCATTTCACCCCTGAAAATGGCAAGTGGTGGAAGCGTGTCCTCCGCAACCCCTACATCATCCAAACTAAATGAATTCATAGATGATGACCTCCCTGAGAGAATTTCTTTTCTTCCTTTGTTTAAAAGAGATAATATACAGCCAAGCACAGACACTATTTTGTCCTCCAATAATGGTTTCTCCTCGGGTGAAAAATCATACGGTACCCGACATTCACCAGTCAGAGGGTTGCACAACGTCTCCATCAAAGCTCCATGTAATCGCTCAGCTGATCTGAAAATTCTACAATACGCCTCAACCTCAGCAATATCCCCTGGAACTGGACCGATCCAAGGCAAGTTTGATGTATCACGGGATTTCACAGCCTTGAAGATCCAAGTAAATGAAGTTAGTCGACCAGTACATAACAAAGAAAAAACTCACAGAGATCGAACCTAAAAAAAAAACCAAATAATCTAGCTTTTAACTCGTTCAATTGAAAGAATAAAAACAGCTTAAAATATAAGCAACTCTGATCAGCAAATGATTCGTCTAAAGCCATTGAACGATTCGAATTAGCTAAAGATCCGCAGAAAATTTGAGCGAGCTTTGCAGAAAACAAAAATGAAAGCATAGACGGCAGGAACAATTCATCGAACATGAAGTGACGATGAATATAAAGAAGGAAGTCGAGAGACGCAAATAACCTGAGAATCCAAACCTAAATCCGGAGAAAAGGCCTGAGATAGCTCCGCCCTGATCACAAATCTCAAGCGGCGTTTAAGCTGGACCTCGTTTCTCCGGAATCCGAAGCCGAACGGAAGCAATCGTCCATCAGAAGTCCAATCAACGGAGCAGTGGAGGCGGGGAGAGATTCCGGTGGCCGGAGATAGCCGACTCATGAGGAAGTGAGGTACGTAGCAAGGGCAGAAGCATAGGAACATGAGAGAAACTGGTGTACGCGCAACAACGACGAGAGAGCCGCTTGACCGGAGTGGCGGATAATGTTGATATTTTCAGATCAAGTTTTGGAGTTTTACAGGGATTTGGTGGACCTCGTGGTTTCGTCCTCTTCATGGCCGAAGGGGTTCAATAAAAACTGTGCTTCTTCCACTTTGATGGTGACTGGATTGACACTTGAGATAGAGGGTGGACTCCACGCGCCAAATCCCCCCTCAATCTTCGTCTCACACTTAATCTGCATTTTCTTTTTCTTTTTTTTTAATTGTTTATGACGAGAATAAGATGGACTTGGAACTGATTATTTTCTTCAAATTTTTGTACTATTCCATTAGCTCATTCATTTCTTCATTTTACTATATATTACCATGGACAACGAACAAAGCATTGAATTTTATCCATCAGATTTGAGCAGCTTCACCAGAATTCTAAAGTTCAATAGAACAATACATGGCTTAACTGCTCCTAACAGAATTCTTTGATAACTTAGATTTTAACATACGTTAACAAACTCATTATCAATTTACAAAAGAGAAACATATAAATCAAACAGTAAATATGGACTATGCCAAAATACCAATCAATCTAATATAACAAACATCTGAAAATTATCCATACGATTACAAAGGTACAATGTAATTTTTTGTTCCACAGGGACATAAAAATTCATTATTCATCATAACAAAACGAGCAAAGAAAGAAACACTACTCGGAGACCAAAAGGACACTCGTTAAAAAAAAAATGAATCCTTAGAAGAACCCGAAAAAAAAAATTGGTAAAAGAACTATTATATATTAACAAATAAAAATGAGAGAAGCAAGCAGAGGGCAAACCAAACAAACGAAATACAAAGGACTCTTCCGACTATATGATAATGTGATCATACTCGTATCACACGTGGGCTTGGGGCTAGAAGGCATTCCAGTGATCAGAACTCCGTGGTGTCTCTGCTGTAGTTGTCGTTGATTTGAATGGTCCCGTAGAACCGAACGGGTCATGGTCATCGAACCCAAATCCGTGACTGTAATCAGAGTCTCTGGTGCTTCCGATTGAGTCGAATCTCGTCAATGAGGCTTTAGGTGTCTCGGATGTGTAGTTGTTGCTAGATGAATCGAAGCTTTGTGCATTGAAGGAATCATATCTTTGATAGTTGAAAGAATCAAACCTGGATGCGTATGGGTCGGGCTCGCTTGTGCTGCGCATCGAGTCTGTGCGGGATAGAGAGAAAGCGTCGTTGTTGTTGCTGTTGAATGAATCGAAGCGGGAGAAACTGTTGGAAGAGAAGTCGTCGTGTGCAGCAGGTGTGCTTGGGACAGAGTCGAACATGAAGGGACTTCTTCCTGGGAACAAGTTGTCTGAACGAGGAGTCTCTGATGCAAATGGCTTCCCACCAAAATCTGACGTGCTATAAGCAGGAGTGCTTGGGACAGAGTCATCGAAGAATGATTTCTTTTCGGGAAACAAGTTTCCGGGATAAGCAGGAGTGCTTGGAACCGAGTCATCGAAGAATGATTTCTTCTCCGGAAACAAGTTTCCTGGGTAAGCAGGAGTGCTAGGAACCGAGTCATCAAAGAATGATTTGTTGCCTGCGTAAGAGGCAGTGGTTGTCGCTGGGGTGCTCGGGACAGAGTCAGCAAACAAGGAAGGTTTTGCAATGAAAGCGTCGTTTGCTTCTGCCGGGGTGCTTGGGACGGAATCAGAAAATATGGACAACTTAGGAGGGAGGAAGTCACTTGAAAGGGTGGAACCCGTTTTTATAGGCTTAATGCTGAAGTCATCGAATCCGAACCCGAATCCAAAGCCACTATCATGCTTCTCACGATCTTTGTCCTGCGTAAACACACAACACTCAAAAATAATTAGATTAAGATGGTAAACCATTCCTTATGTTTTAATCAGAACAATGATGATTCTTTCCTGTAGGTATGTAAAGGTTAAAAGAAATATAGATATTCAAATGTGACAAACCCGAAATTTTGGGATCTGCAAAATGATACATAGAGCACGATGAGCATATTTTACCTTTCCGTTGTCAGGGTTGAAGCTTGAAACTGAATCTGTCTCATCGTGAGAGTCATAATCAAATTTGCCAGCAGAAGCAGTAGATTCACCATCATCATGGCCATTTTCACTATTACAAAATTAAGTAAAATGTAGACAACGGTAAACATATTATACTCTGTCTTCCTCTTTATAATAGCACGCAATATCCACAGTTAAGAAAGATGCAATCGAAAACACACAAGGTCTAAAACAAACATACCTTCTCGTATCTTTGGTCTGGGGTGAACCATCAGCTTCATTACCCTTTCTAACATAAGAGTCGTCCACAGATCCGTTTCTATCTGTTTTACCTTCTGAATGTTCAGATGCTGGATCCTTCTTAGAACCCTCTTCACCACTGCTTGGCTTTTTCTCTGTTTTAGACTCAACATCTGAGGATGAAACGTCTTCACCTTCTTTTGAAGAGACGTTAACTTCTTTCCTCCAAGCAGATGTTTTTTCCTTTGGTGGGGCTATGACATTTTGGACATCAAGTGTAAGCTCCTTGACGAAGGCAAACCCTGGAAGTGGAGAAATATTAGGTGCAAGGTTCACGTGTTCAATTTTCAAAATCCGAACCCTATTTTGGAAGGCAGATCAGCCAACAAAAAAAAAAAATATAAAGAAACAAGAAAATTGATTAAACATCTAAAGCCATCCTCCTCGATACTCTCATCTGACAATAGTATGTCAATATCTAAATATAAACCGCAAGTATACCTTCCTCCTCTAGCTTATCCCACTCTTCGTCCCAATCAGCAGCACCTTCCTGGATTCCAAGCTGCCAACCTGTAAAAAGCCAGGAAATCCCATGAATTATAAACACAGGAATATACAGCAGGTATACAGTTGTATAGATAGAAGTATTTCTAGCAACAATACATTAAGAGACAAATATACTGAGTTTCGTGTTGTACAGAAACATCAACATTTACGCAAATTCTTGAATAATAGATTTATTAGATTCTGAAATGAACAGCCAAGAAAGGTGGTAACCATTCCTGCCACTGATCGAGAGAATATAATACTAAAGGTGATATTTATCTTGAAAGGAGAAAGGGTAGATCTATACCAAAAGGAAGCTCCACCAGCGAAGTGGGTTTGCCACGTACTCCATATTGTTTGCAGCGCTCATTCAAATTTTTAACCAGTTCCTCAAGGCCTGATTGGATATGTTCAGTGCGCTCCTACAAAACAACATTCAGCAAACTACAGCTACTAATCAAATTCAATCAACCAGGTCGCACGTGTGGCTTACCTTAACAACACTATCATCAAGCTTGCCTTCTTCAAATTTGACTATTGCCTGGTACAATTCCATTTTCTTCTCCTGCAATTGAAAGGGCGGTTTATCATATTTTTTTGACGGAGACATCCAGCTTGCAGACAATTCAAAGTAAACCATGTTCCCGGGATGATACTTCTAAATTACCTGTATATCGCGGAATGTGGCCTCTTCAATAGTCAATTTAGAGCCTACATTGCCAGACTGCTTATATTTCTCCTCATACTTTTTTGCTAGAGATTCAAGCTGGATTACGGGTTGATTATGTTAGGCACACAAACTGGATCTCTAATACCATTATAGAAGCACAGTGCAACAGAAACTGTATACCTCACGTTTATCACCCGAGACTCTCTCTGTGATCTCATTGTACCGGTTGTCACATCTGCTCTTATATAAAACCTATCACCCAAGGAACCAAAGGGAGAAGGTTTTAGAAACAAACTGATCGCTCGTAATAAATATGAGGGACCTGTAAACAACTATATTCCTAGAACTTTTGAGACCACTTCAGAAAAAAGCCTGATCAAACAGCCAAAGATTATACGATCATACTGTCAAACTATTTTTGACTCTACTTCTGGTTATCAAATAAGTGATTACAGAAAAGATGTTGGAAAAGAAAATACCAAACTAAACAAGCAGAGATACTTACAAGTTCCTGCATCTTAGCACGGAAGAACTCAATTTTCTGCTTGGAATCAGCTATTTCTTTTTCAAGTTCGTCCACCTGAAGACCAAAATAAAAGGATTTTGAAAACAGGAATGGCAGTCACATAAATTTCTACGTTACGTCAGTAAAGATTACATGGATAACTGATCACCTATGCGAGAAAAGCACAAACATTGTCAAAAGTAGGGAGTAAGGTGAAAGAACTTGGAAACTTCTAATCTTGTATATGACTACCGAAATCTACAACTATTTCATATGAGTTCCATATGAAGGTGGGCAAAAGAAAAAGACTCACGCTAACCTAAGAAATTGACCACATTATCAAATTAAAATAAAAGAGAAACCAGAGAGTGCCTTTTTATCAACAGCAGTTGCTTCTTCAAACTTCAAGTTGAGGGAATCTTGTTCCTCTTTGCTAAGTTGATCCACAAGGTTTTTTTCCAACTCGGGCATTTTACGCTTTGGCTGAGTGGGCTGGACCATTCCCTCACTAGGAGAGAGAGGAACCGGCCTCGGAGGCTTTCCTTTGGGAATAGCTGGTGGTCTCGAGGCCCCATGAAGGTGTTGCTGTTGGAAACCTACAATATTTGGTACAAGAATGAATCTGTATACTTCAGAAGAATAATGCAAGTAATACAGAAAAAGGTTTAAGGGATGCATTACCATGTGGATGTCCCAAGGATGCATTGCTATGTGGTGCCACAGATTGGCCAGGAAGCGTAAACATGCTCTCACTAGATATTATAGTGCTTGGGAACACTGGGGGAAGAGGTCGGCCCTCTCTATAACGCTCCATTAGATAGACCGCAATACAGAACTCCCTCAAGGAGAGCATGCTATCATTATCTTGATCAGATAAATCCCATACCTGCTTCAATGCCTCTGTAATACCAAGGAACAGCATTGAGAAACACAAAAAAACGTATTAACAATAAATTTTTGAGACAGTATTAATATCACTATTGATTTATAGTCTACACGTAGACCAAAGCATGAATTACTCAAGATGCACCAAAACCGCCAGTTGATCAATATTCAATACTGTACAAACAAATACAAATAACTACAGTAGTGACACCTAAATAAAAATTCCCGTTCACCACTATAACCACAAGCTCAAACCCAAACTAAACCACTGCTAACGGATGAGCAACAAAAAATAGTAAATGTAGCCTACCTCGCGGGAGCCTCCAACTTAAGAACAGATTCCGAGCCTGGTGCCCAGTGATCTTTCCGTCCCTATCAGTGTCAACTTGCACAAAAACCTTGGTATATTTTTGGACATCAGCTGGAGTCATTTTTGGCCAAGGGGCTTGGGAATGGGGCTGGGGTTGATGTGGTTGGGGATGGGGTTGGTGTTGTGGTTGGGGCCGGGGTTGGTGTTGTACTTGGGGCTGGGCTTGGGGTTGGTGATGGGGTTGAGGCTGGGATTGGCGCTGGGTCATCTGACTGGAAGCTAAAATTCCAACTCCAGCAGAAGGGACAGTTGTACCAGAAGCTGCACCGGAGGGAACAAATGGCTGCCCTAATTTTCCAGTAAGCTGATTCTGAACACCAACAGGATGCTGGCTGAATGAACCTTGTTGTGGGATTGAACTTTGCCTAACTACAGACTGTGCAACCTCAGGAGCCACGACAGTTCCGGAAGAAACAGATGAGATGCCCATTGTCGATGTAGTTGCCGTGGTATGTTGTTTTGGCGGTGTGGAAGCATCTGAAAACACATCTCCGAAAAGCGAGTCAGAGGAAAATCCGTTTCCTGAGGCCAATTGATTAGATGGAGCATCTGGAGCACGAGTACCTGAAGGAGCAGATGAATCTTGGGGCTTGTGCACAGGCGCTGATTCTTGAGGTCTAGCTGTTGTAGAGCTTATTACTGCAGGTGTCATATGCGGTTTTGCTATATGGTTGGCAACTGAATTGGGTGCTGTCAAACCATATGCACTCTGACTCGTAGGAATTTGAGAATTCACTTGCCCAGAGGGCCCAAGACTTCTACCACTGAGCAAATTAGATGGCATAGGTTGGTTTGCAGAACGAGGCAAATTAGTACTTCCCGCTGGCATACCCTGGCTTTGAAAATTTTGCTGTGGTTGAGATGGAGGTAGCCCGGTAAATTGGTTCTGCTGGCCCGGGACTACTTGTTGGTTACTAGTGCTTACAGCTCCACCCATTTGAGTTCCTCTCATACCAGCCGCTACTGATGGCACTGATGTAGCTCCCTGAGCTTGTGTAGCAGGCACAACTCCCCTGGGCTGCGGAGAGGGTGTTGCAGCAAGATTTATTTTGGGGGCAGGGATACTGGCTGAAGCAGGACTATAGATTGCAGCCTTCACTATCTCAGGAGTTAATTCCCGTCTACTTTGTGCCACTGTTACCAACTTCAGGGCATTATAAAACTCCGCTCGACCAAGGTAACCAGCCTTTTTTGCATCTGCGTAGGACCATACCTAGAAGGGATGAAAAAAAAATAGTTATAACACTAACAATCCAAAGAATAACTATACAATAGACGCTCAGAAATAGCGTATATCCAAGCCAATCCGTCTACAGTTCAGCAACATATCTTATACATGCATGGAATGAGGGAATTCTGCGTATCTTATACATGCATGGTTACAGACAAGTAGATACTTCTAGCTTGCTTCGATATCATTCAATATTATACATGCATTCAAATTTCACTCTCCAATAGTAAAGATAACGTATAACTTAAACATATCCACAAAAACACTGCCTTATCTGATAGCAGCAGTTCAATCGTATCACCAGATGTGCCAATCTAATAACAGCGCAGTACAGATTACAAAAAAAAAAATTTAGAGAGCAGATTATGTCGACATCGAACTGGATTCTCCACTAGAATTACATAAGCTCCAGAATGAATTGAGAGGTCTCGCAACCACCCGGCAGAGAAACAATTTGACAAAATACGTCACATTTTACTACAAACGACCCACAGATCAAAGATCTAATTCAAAACTTATAGGAACCCGAAGAAATATTCTCCACCGTATCGCATTAATCAGCAAGAAAAGCAAAAAAAAAAAAAAATTAACGAAATAGATGCAGATTTCGCGGAAGAACCTGAGCGAGGACGTGTTTAGGCAAATTCGAGCCTTGGAAGAAAGCGACGGCCTCAGCTCCACTGATATGACCATCTCCATCCAAATCTGCTCTCCTGAAATACGTATCGAACAGATCCTGGCTCCCCGTCGGCCTTGGCGCTGCCATTTGAAAACGGAGGATGATCCGAAATCTAGCAGCGAAGACAGTGACCAGAAGTTTTCCGCATCAAAAAGCACAGAAGAAAGCGATCCAATCTCGGCATACAAGATGCGTAGAAAAGCCCTAATACATAAGGCTAACCAAGCTCAATCGTAGATCAGTAGGAGAGAGAACACCGGATCGAAGGGAGTTTCGATTGAAAGGAAGGAGAAATGGGATCGGCAAAGGTGAACAGAGGGACGGCCACGAGAGGCGGAGAGAAGTAACAGAGGTCGATGACGATTCTCCGACAGAGAAACAATTCAATTCCCGGGATTTGAGATGGAAACCGGTACAGCGATGGAAGAGAAGATTTTGGGAAAGTTATGATAAAAAAAAAATGTTTTTCTATAAGATCGTATAAGAACCTCGAGATGCAAATTATAATACGGACAGAGTTTGATGTAAAAAACAAAAAAAAAGTATCTGCATTTCCTTTTACCGTGGCAACAGATGTTAGACCTATGTGGAATTTATTTGAGATGTTATCATTTGAGGATCGATGATAGTAATCCAAACATAGATCTTTTCTGTAGATCAAAAGATAGAATTTAATGAGATCTAAAATAGCTTTCTTTCTGTAGTTGGAAGTTGTTCTTCACCTAGTTTTTCTTTTCGATTTCAGTTCACATAGTTTCCTCGTTGTAGATAGTTTTTTGGGGGTATTAGAGAGATATCATAGAAAATTTATCAAGCATATTTTATAGTTAAGTCATTTCTGTTATTCATCAAATCTACATAAGTTTTTTTTTTTTACGGATCGATTTTACATCATTGTTATAGGTTCAGATCCAAAAGAATCTATGATATGTTCAAATTATGAGAAGCTGCGATAACACATGCTTTTGGATGGTCCTAATTTTCTTCAGGACCAATATGACTTGTTTCACTATTTTTCTCTTAGCCACTCTTATTTCTTTCGCAGGATTGCTAAAGTTTGACTTTATTAGCTTCTTTCATGAGCTTCTTCCCCGACACATATGTCGTATCTCCTGGCCAGAGCTCCAACTTAAGTAATTTCCGACCACGGGCTGTCAAGATCTTCAGTGATGCCTTTGATGACTTGCCGCCAATAGAACACCCACTCATCTCATTCACTTCCTACATTAATTGTAGATCAGTAGGAAAGAAAACACAGAATCGAGTTGGATTGGATCAATGATCCAATATGTACAGATTCCCAGATTCGAGATGGCACGATCTAAACATCAATCAGTAGAGTGGAATTTGAGGATCGATGTGGAGACTCGAGAGACTAAAACAGGAGAGAATGGAATTTTGTTGGAAAGTTGTGCGGGATACCAAAAAGAACGCTTCTAAACCATCATTAATGTGATAACCTCTTATGAGTTTTTAATCAATTTTTTAATATAAATATTATCTAAAAACCTCACAATTTTTTAATTTATTTTTTCCTTTTCTAATAATAGAATTTTTGATGAAGTTCTTAATAAAAAAATATAAAAATTGCTTTGAATAAAATTTGAAACATACAAAAAAAATTAAAACAAATTTTTTAAATTTGAAGTTCATAAGTTAAAGTTAAAAAAAAAAGTAAAATCAAGCAAATTAAACATCGACACATAACTAAGAACTTCTACTAAAAATCAGTTTTTAAAATTTTTATTTAAAAACAGATTCTTAACACACAAAAAATGGATTTTTTATTTAATTTTATTTATTTTTGTCTTAAAAATCTCATTAATCTCCCTGATGATCTAATATTTTCCTGTTTATTAGTGGTTGTTTTTATTCTTAAAAAAAAGGTTATTACATAAATGTTTTTAAATTGATTTATGTAATTTTCTCGAAATATCTAATCCACAGTTACGCGACACTCTAGAGAAGAGCTTTATCCCCTTTCCCATGGCGTCTTCCGCCGCTGCTCCCTCCTTATCTCTACTCTCTTTCACTTCGAAACCTCCTCCGTCTTCCTCCGCCGCCACGACGCAGCGGCTTTTTCCGTCGTTCAGAACCGACGGCGGTTTCGCGCCTTTAAAACTCAAATCCCGCCGCGGCCGTTCAATCATCGTCAAGGTGGACGACGTCGATGCCGACGGCGGTGGACCCGACGAGTACGACATGGATGACGAGGAAGTAGAGGAAGTAGACAACAAGAAGGACTATGACGTCGAGTACGACCCCTTGGCCGCCGCGATGGCCGCCGCAAGCGGCGGTGGTGACGGGGATATCGCTTTTGTGCAGAGCAAGAGCTTCATATCTACACAGGGGTGGGACTCCGACATGGTGGTGGATTACCGGATAAATGAAGACGAGTTCCATAAAATCAGCTTACTGGACTGCGATTTCTTTATCAGGAAACCGCCTGATCCAGATAACGATGTTTATGATTTCAGAGAGGTATGTGATTTCTCTGGTTCAAGTGAATTCACAGTGTCTCAATTGCTCATTTCTTCGATTTCTCTACTTTCTGGGTCCATTTACACGGCGTTTATGTGGCTGCAGATGTATGTTACTCCTCCGGATACTGATGTTTACTCAATTCCTAGAGTTCTTGCTCCAATGCCTCAAAAGGTCAGTCATATATCCTTACTGTTACTGGTTGGTGTTTTTTTGGCATTTTAATGCTTTGTTCTGGGATTTTCCTTTTGCTCAACCAGATAAATCCTTTTCATTTTGTTCTCAATATTTGCTAATTCATCCCATTCACATGAAATCGAACTTCACTCTACCTGGTAACTGTATCAGTATATGATATTTTATCTAAACAGAGCTGCACAACTTTGCTACTGTTTGGAACTGAGACTAATACTAGGATTTATAATTTTGTACGGATCTAACTTCAAAGTTCCATAAATGGTTAGAGCTTTTTCCACCCATCAGTATGATAAGGTAGTTAGAATGTGGAAGCTAGTGTTGTTTAATCACTTTGACTTTCATTCTGGCCAATCTTTTACACTTTCTCCTTTATGATGGCTGCGCATGTATTACATCATTGAGTAATTTGGTCGGGTGCTGATAACGGTTTGTTTAATGATGTTGTAACTTGCAAGTACAGTATATTCGATGTGCAATGAGTGACTATGGATGTTACAATGTCACTGAACCGCCTATTGATGCTCCCCGAGATCCACTATACAAATCCGAGAGGGAGATATCAAAGGTACATATTTGAACCATGTCCAATACATTGATGTTAAAACCGTCAGGTCTTTGATGCAGAGATTCGTTGATATGGCAACATTTCTGTACAACACACCAGAAAGATATGTTTTCCAAAGCATCAAGGATGGCATGTATTTGGTTTGGTTTAGTAGTTTCTGTTACAAATGTCTTCACCATGTTTATTCATCATGCAGGTTTTCTTGACAAAGCATTATCGAAACAGAAGGTCAAACGACCCCGAATTTGTGCTAGACCTTGAAGAGATCTATGTCATTGACTCCAAGACAAAGTCAATCACCAGAGCCAGAGTTCTGGTATGTCCGATTGTTACCTTCCAGTTTATTTAGGCATTGTCTCTCATTCCGAGTCTGAGCACAAACCTCAACCGTAGACTGTAGCCAATTGGGTGTTTTTGACGTTTTAACATATTCCCTTAGCCGAATATGTTTCATGCTATTACACTAATACAATGCTGGTTTACATTAGTGCTATATATGCCTCTTGTTCTGATTCACATTTCAAATACCCCGAGTTGTGATTTCTTGAAATACCATGCGTAGTTCAAAGCTGCTAAGACAATCTGCCTTCCCATATTAAGGTTTAGACTGTTTCAGGTGACAGTTCCGGGAGGAAGAAAAAGGGATAGGAAGGACGACTTGCTTGTGATACGCGATAATGGAAACTCCTTTAAAATCATACACGTGGTAGGTTTCCATTTCCACACTGATTTGTTTAGGCAACCCATTTCTCTTCCGTCAGACTGGATTTATTCATCTTCTCTCTTTGTTTATATATTTTTGCTTCTTTAGAGGGAAAGAGATGATCCAACAACAGTGATAGAAAGGGAAGAGTGGACCAAGACCCGAGAAGACATGGAGAAACATCTCAGAAAGCTACGAGACTTCAGTGTCTCGAATTGGTTCTGAAAACAAAAATGAGAGAGAAACCAAAAACGACAAATCAATGAAAATTCTTCATCATCCATATATGGCGTATTCGTGTGATGGGATACGATAGCAGATCATGCCGACCAATGATATGGTGGAGCTGGAGGCGGACCCATGCCTAAGGAGACGGAGTCAAATGACGCACTTTACATTTTTAATATTCATCTAATCTAATTCTACAAATTTTTGAAATAAAAACAAGGAAGTTTCAAAATCATATTTTAAAGATCTATTTTTATATCAATAACGTATTAATTCAATCTATCTTTTTATTGAATTTGATAACTATTGTATACTTGTATTTCAAAAACATTTGACTAAATCACACACATATAACATTTTATTTAATAGAAAACACATTAATAAAGCAATTGTACCCAACAAAAAGAAAACTACAAAACTATCCATCATATGAAGTGTATTTAGCATAATTTTGAATTATATAATTATCAGATCATTAACACCTCATCAAAATTACAAAACTTGTGCATTTCTGTCCACTCGTTTTCTCAATGCCTTAATGCAATTTAAGACCTCAGCCATTTTTTTCCAATTTTTCTATTTGTCCCTGCAACTTTCATCTATTTTTTCACATAATTCTCGGGAACATTCTTTATGTCAAAGATTTTCTTAATTTCCTATCTGAGTTGAATAGTTTTATTTATCAGGGTACCAAATACAACTAGATATAATCCTTGATAGAAATGAATTCCTTGGTATAATCACTAATAGATTTAGCAAAAAAAATTATTCAAACTCATTGTCTAAGCAGCCAGATGTTTCGCAAGCATTTTTCTAGCTTGATCTTCATTCAACTGAACTCGTCCGAGAGAACCGAAATGCCAATGTCAGCATTCTAGAAAAAATCTTCTTGCATTGATCAGGTTTATCATCGAATAAGCTATAGAAATACTCCACTTTGTAACAATTGGAAATTGTTAGGTTCAGGGCTCTATATCATTGTGTTAGTAAGAACACAAATGATCAAAAACACTCATGTGATAAATGATCAAAAATTTAAAAATATTGCACAATTTTAGTGTTGTTAAGTTTTTAAATTTTAGAATCGATTTTAATTCATCATTCATATTTATGATTCGGAAAAAAATACTTTTTAAGTCTACCATTGGGTGGAGCATCAAATTTATGTTGTTTCTATGTGAGACAATAATTCGTATGTGTGTGTTTTCAGTGTCAGCTGATATACTCTATCAACCCTAATCAAGTTATTAGGGATTATTCGGTTTATGTGTTATGGGATATTCAAAATGCAAAACTATATGTTGTTTATCAGGTCATAGATCTAGTGGATAATTTCAACCATATCTTGGTGTGGTTCGATCTAAATTTATGCGTAGTCAAAATTGTTGTTGGGATTTCCTTTAACCGCAGCTCAGATGATCTATCTTATAAGGAGAGGTTATTGAAAATCCAACGTAACGCCAAAAAGAGATGATGTGTTACAGTGTACTTTGCTAAAAGAATCAACTGATACAATCAGTACCAGGATCGTTTTAATTTATGAGTTTTCAACGCAGTTAATTTTGTATGGAAAAAATGATTATGTGATAACTTAAGATGGCTTTAGATTTTAACTAATTTTTCTAAATCAGTATAAGTTTTTTAAATATAAAAATCGACTCTGAATTCATCATTTATATTTGTGATTCTGAAAATAATAATAATAATAATAATAATAATAATAATAATAATAATAATAATAATAATAATAATAATAATAATAATAATAATAATAATAATAATAATAATAATAATAATAATAATAATAATAATAATAATAATAATAATAATAATAATAATAATAATAATAATATAATAATAATAATAATAATAATAATATAATATATAATATAATAATAATAATATATATATAATATATATATAATATATAATAATATAATAATAATAATAATAATAATAATAATAATAATAATAATAATAATAATAATAATAATAAATTCATCATCTATATTTGTGATTCTGATAATAATAATAATAATAATAATAATAATAATAATAATAATAATAATAATAATAATAATAATAATAATAATAATAATAATAATAATAATAATAATAATAATAATAATAATAATAATAATAATAATAATAATAATAATAATAATAATAATAATAATAATAATAATAATAATAATAATAATAATAATAATAATAATAATAATAATAATAATAATAATAATAATAATAATAATAATAATAATAATAATAATAATAATAATAATAATAATAATAATATAGATCTGTCATTGGCCCACTCTATCAAATTGGTGTTATTTCTACGGCAGACACATGTTTTTCTACCTCAAGTACCTCACTAGAAGCAGAGATGAATGCGTTCTGATGGGCTCTAGCTAGAACAATTGTGTAGATGCTATATTGTGATGGATTAACATTCGATGACTAGAGAAAGCTAGTTTATGCTACATATTTCGACTTCACAAATATTTCATTATTCGCAATTTTGGCGTTTCAACGACTTTTGATTCAAGATGTTCTCTCTTAATTATTTTGTAATGAGTTGTTGGTCTTTATTAAGGTTACTCATGTATGTTTTTAGCGAGTCCCAACTCATGTGATTGTTCTTGATTTAAACTTTTCCTCCACTTTAGAACCACGTTCTTAGCGTTTCTTACATCCATCTTTTAACAATACGTTGATATTCATTAAGGAGAATCATGTATGTTTTTAGCGAGTCCCAACTCATGTGATTGTTCTTGATAAACTTTTCCTCCTTTAGAACACGTCTTAGCGTTTCTACATCCATCTTTTAACATACGTGATATCATATGAGAATCTGGGGGGTTTTCTAACTTCCTATTGGTATACGTATGCATAAAATGTATGCACAGATAATCACCCGCATGTTCATCAACTTGCATGGAACTTTTGAACACACGTAAGTTCAGAATCGAACACCACCGGACTTCCTGAACTGAAACGACCGGTCCATCAATTGAAGCTGGTGCAGCATGGCTTTTGGAACTTAACCGGCGTGTACTTTTACGTAGCTAATAAGAAGTCCGATGTAACTGACGTTCTAAAGACGACACGTGTACAGCGTCTTGTTTGGGTTTCACGTGAGTGGGATGACATTTGTCAGAGTCGCCGACAGGGGCTTTCAATGTTGTGTGGGTGGTTCCACCGGCCACATTCTGTGACCAAACATTTAACTCCCCTACTCACCCTCTTTCATCACACATTTATTATTACTTCAAACCATACGCAAAATTTAACAAAGAAAATAAATGAAAAACATCGATCCCAAACAATTCCGTGATGGATTTATTGAATTCGTCATGTTAAATTGAATACCATGAATGTGTTCATTATTGTGGAATGAAATTCGGTTAAACAATTCTATTTCAATCGAAGGATTAATTTTGGCACGTTATAAATGAATTCAGTTGAGATTTGGAAAAATATACATTCATCGAACATATACATGCTACGAACAAGAGTGTACACGCTATATATAAACTCTAATCATAATTTATCTTTTTGCAGTGTAACATATATGTCGAAATAAAAAAGGAATTGCAAGATTAAATATAAAGTTATAAAGAAGATTGGCGTGAGGCAGCATTGGTCAAAGACTCAAAATGGAATCAAATTAACGATAAGGACTATATATTAGGTACGTGCATCAACAAACCAAATCTATATTATAAAAAGCTTATAAGTAAATATATCTCACATGTTGAGGTAAACAAAATAACAAAATGAGAAAACGTCACCAATTCCATTTTCTCTAGTTATCTTTGAATCGTCAACTTACCAATAAACATAAGAATCAAATATTAGACAAGAAATGAATCGTTGACGACAAAAAACAACAACAAAAAGTCAAGGAGGGAATCATACTATAAAACGAAGGAATAAATCCAAATATATTTATGAAAATTCTTTATGAATCTTGTATTTATAATTTATATTGTCCCTTCAATTATGGCACTACGTTCTATAGTTAACCGATAACGATAACGGTGGAACATACCGTATTTAATACGTATATACTTATTCCTCACTGTTTTGCCGTAAAAATTAATAGATTTTTATTTGTTTTTCTGGTCAAATTCAAAGAGTTTTCTAAGAAGTAAATGTGTTTTTAACCAAAAAAGAAAGTGAATGTATATGATAACAAATCTACTATCTAACAACCACTCCATATTTTTAAAATTTGATGTTTTTGTTTCATGAATATACCTGAAATTTTGTAAAATCAAATTTCTGATTGTTCAAAAAAAAATGAAAGATGCTAGAAAATAGATAGAAAAGGAAATACAGTAAAAATTTAGCTAGAGTGTAGACCAAAATATAATATCCCTTAAAAGTTTTATCCAATGGCAGACCGAAATTCTAAGATGTCTGCTCCTCCATTCTTCTCACTCTTCTCCTTCTGAGAAGCTGCAAAACCAATTTCAAAGCCACGAGAGAAACAGAGAGACATAGAACAGGAATTCTCTTCGTGGGTATATGATCGTTACGATGATTTTCTGTCTCCTCCAGGAATCACACTCAGGAAACTAAGACAACCATTTTGAGAAAACTGGGAAGTGAGAAACAAAAGAGAGCGATATGACGGAAAACGGCGTGGCTCCAAGAGGAGGAGGAGGAGGAGGCCGTACTGTTGTGGTAGGCGTGAAGTTCGATGCGACGAGCAGTGAGCTGCTTGATTGGGCTTTGGTTAAGGTTGCTGAACCGGGTGATACCGTAATCGCTCTTCATATTCTCAGCAATGGTAACACATTTTTGTGTCTCTGGGTTCTTCAGTCTGAGATTTTGCAAATGGGTTTTTTTTTTTTTTTTTTACTATCTCAAATCTGGATTTGTGTAGATATCGTCGATCGAGCAGGCAGCTCTTCGCTTATCTCCCTTGTCAAAGCTTTTGACTCTGTTCTTGAAGTTTATGAAGGTTTCTGCAAATTGAAGCAGGTAATACTGAAAAGCGAACAACTTCATTTTTTTCTTTTTCAGAAACCAACAGTCTCCAATGAGAATACTTAGAAATGTTGAATTCTTTTTCATAGGTGGATTTGAAGCTGAAGTTAATCCGGGGTTCTTCTACACGAAAGACTCTAGTTAGAGAAGCAAAATTGTGTTATGCATCCAATGTTGTAGTTGGAATTTCCAAAAGTTATCACACAATTCACTCCTCTGTCTCCGTAGCTAAGTACTTAGCCAGGAAATTATCAAAAGATTGCTGGGTTCTGGCCGTCGACAATGGGAAAGTCTTGTTTCAGAAAGATGTTTCCTCTTCGATTATTCACCACTCTAAAGGTTTTGCCTTTTGTCTTTTTTCTTCGAATTTTTAAGTTCTGCATGTGGTGATTTGTGTGTGCAGATTAGTATTTGAAACTCTTCTTTCTTGGTCTTTTTTGGTTTGTCATAGGAAAAAGCGATGCTGGTAGGAAAACTTTGACTAGTTTCTTTCAGATGCCTGTCACATTGAGAAAGAATACCAAAGTAGTTGACCATTCAGAGGAGGAGGAAGAAGAAGTAGTGGAGGAGGATCATTCCAATGGCCATAGTCTACGGCATGCTTTAGTGTATGCCTGCCTTGGGAATTGCTCTGTTTCTGGTTTGAATGGATCTTCTAATTGTGATGCTGATCAAGATGATAATGCTGATTTCCACAAGCCAATGGCCATTATGCCTGCAAAAGTTCCAGAAGATTTGACCTTATTCATGACTATGCTGGTAAAGGAACTGCCTGGATTTAGACCAGGTTGGCCTTTGCTTTGTCGTGTAGCTTCTTCAGATGCATTTGCTACTGTGCAGCGGAGTTCTTCGTTCAGAAAGATACCAGTTGTCCAGTGGGTGCTGAAGCTGCCCTCTAGGACCAATTCTGTTGTTGGAAGTTCAGACACTAAGCAGATTGGTTTTGATTCTTCTGAATCTGAGGATGATAATAAGTTGTCTAGTTTGAACGCTAAAAGCCGAGCAATTGTTCCTGATGGTAATGATTCTATGATCGTGAAATGTTCTCCTGATAGTAGCCCAAGAAGATTTTCAGAGGAATTAGAGGGTCTTCAAGAGAGATTCTCCACATCTTGCCGGTCTTTTAAGTACAAGGAACTTGTGTCAGCGACATCAAATTTCTGTGCTGGTTCGTTCCTCTTTTCTCATACTCAAGCTACAGATTTTAAATATTTCTCAAGACTCTTGTCATTTGCTTTTCTCTAAATAAGAAAAGCTATGTCATTTTCAGATAATTTCATCGGAAAAGGAGGCAGCAGCCGGGTTTTTAGAGGTTATCTGCCAAATGGAAGAGAGGTTGCAGTGAAAATTCTTAAGCAAACCGAAGGCGTCTTAAAGGATTTTGTGGCAGAGATTGACATCATCACGACCTTAAACCATAAGAACGTTATTTCCCTCTTAGGTTATTGCTTTGAAAACAATAACTTATTACTGGTATACAATTATCTCTCAAGAGGAAGCCTTGAAGAGAATCTTCACGGTAAGCCTCTGACCCTTAAGCTACTTGCAGATTTTCTTATGTTTTGGTTCTAACAATGCATGGTTTGGTATTAGGAAACAAAAAAGACCTGGTTGCATTTCGTTGGTACGAGAGATATAAGGTGGCTGTGGGAATAGCTGAGGCGTTGGACTATCTGCATAACAGTGCTTCACAACCCGTCATTCACAGAGATGTTAAGTCATCAAACATATTATTGTCTGATGATTTTGAGCCACAGGTAAGTTTCTTTCAGTTTCCAGTTTTCATATCGAAGAGGAGTAAAAATTGAGTTGCTTAGAAAGGGAGATCTTGTTCACAGCTGTCTGATTTTGGGCTTGCGAAGTGGTCGTCGCTGTCTACAACTCAGATAATCTGCTCCGATGTCGCAGGCACCTTTGGGTGAGAAACAAAAAAAAAAAATTCAAATTCTTTTGATGTTACGTGTTAGTTGTTTAAGAGGTAACAATCTTGAGAATGTTACACGTTTCTTGGTGCAGCTACTTAGCTCCAGAGTACTTTATGTATGGCAAGATGGACAATAAGATAGATGTCTATGCATACGGTGTTGTACTCCTCGAGCTTCTTTCTGGAAGAAAACCGATAAGTAGCGAATCTCCAAAGGCTCAAGAGAGTCTTGTTATGTGGGTATGTGGATACTACTACTGGCAAAAACTTCTTACATTGAAAGGTCTAAGCTTTCTCTGCTATTGCTAAACAGATGTGTATCTACATTTGCAGGCGAAACCAATTCTGGATGATAGAGATTATTCTCGGTTATTGGACCCGAGTTTGCGAGATGACAACAATGGTGACCAGATGGAGAGGATGGCGTTAGCGGCCACTCTTTGTATAAGGCATAACCCTCAATCTAGGCCAAAAATGGGAATGGTTAGTCAACTTCTTATCCTCTTAACTCATTGCCAGTTTCATCATCTAGATCTTGGCTCTACTTTTTGGGACAAGCACTTAATATAGCGGTTATTAACAATATATGTGTTGTGAAAATGCAGGTCTTAAATCTTCTTAAAGGTGACGCGGAGTTGCTAAAGTGGGCAAAGCAACAAATTAGTAACTGTTTAGAGGATTCAAAGCTACTCAATGATGAGAAATTGCAGAGGTTAAGTTTACAGTCACATCTTAACTTAGCATTCCTGGACATGGAGGATGACTCCCTGTCCATGGGAAGCACCGAGCAAGGCATCTCCGTAGAGGATTATCTTAAAGGCAGGGAAAGCCGGTCATCCAGCTTTAATTGAGCTTGTTCTCTTTACTACAACAAATCACAATTGCAAAACTTTCCAAGCTGAGATGGTGAAGAGTCTCTTGTGTGTGAGTGTTAGTGTATATATGAAAAGGGACTTCTTTTCATTTGGATGGGTGGTGGATGAGAGGTGCATTTGTGGGTTTTACTGGCCCTCCTCCCTCCCTTGGTGTAGGGTTATAAGTTCAACTTTTACTTGTTTGGGTTTGTTTTGCAGTTTTTGCCTTTATTGGGGCAAAATAGACATGCAATTTGTGTTGTTTGATCCTAATGGATTAAAGTGAATTTTCTTGCCTTGTAATGCTCGAACGTGTCTCTCTTGTCATTATCAATAGATAACATTATCTTGTTAGAAGAATTAAAATAAGAATTGCGTTTGGTATTCGTCATAGTGCCTATCACAATCTTAAAGACTAGTAAAATCTTATCTTAAGAAGACAACGATGTTAAAATTAATCAAAATCAGATGACAAAAAATAATAAAAAGACAACGATGAGTGACACTGAGTCAATCTATATTCTGTGGTATTAGATCGTTATCGTTTGCTTTTGAAAGGAACGGAATGGGACGAAATAATTTCTTAAATATCTTCTCATTTTGTTCGTATACTTTGAACTGTGGTGGGATTAATTCAGTCCGAATTACTTGGCCCATAACAAACCACGCCCATGACCCAATAAGATTAGGGGAAAGATATAAAATCGAAAATCGCGACGATTCGGAATTTTTTTTTCCGTTTGTTATCGCCGTTATCGTGTTGTGTACGTGCGTTTCAGCAGAGATCAAGAAGGATACGGAGACGCGGTTTGAAAGAAGTCGAAGATACGGTTTAAACGATCTGAAATTGTTCTTGGGCAAAATCAGCCATGGATTCTTCTCATTACAACCCAAGCTACGTTCCATGGAATTCTCCTTACTCTTCTCATCCTCCTCCTGCTCCGCTCTTGCCGCCGCCACCGCCGCTACCTCCTCCTCATCATCATCAATTTCATCCCGAGAGCCCTAATTTTTATGGCCGATCAAGCCAAAACGGCGTTCAACATCAGGATTATCACCATTACTCTCATCTTCAAGACCTTCCGTCGAAGCCGACGGTTAATCAGCCGTCTTCCTACTACTCCCAGCATCCGCCACCGCCACCGCCTCAGCAACAGCATCCTCCACCGCTGCAGCAGAAGCATCTTCCATACATTCCTCAGCATGTTAGTTATGAGCCTCAAAGGATTTCGCAGCCGTCCTCATCGAGTATCCCATGTACGGAATCCCGAGATATTTCTCAGTCTGCTTGGGTTGGGTATAAGGAAAAACGACTTGATTCATGGACAGTTGATGCTGGTCAGGGACGAATGGATACTGGTAGAAGCCGAGTGGATCCAGGTCCAGACCGTACCTATCATCAGTATGACTACAACCGCTCGTCGAGGGAATCTTCGGGTGTTAGTACTAGCCGTGGTTTAGATGGTAGTTCTAGGTCTAGAGATGAGTTTCGTAATCCTGGTTATGTGAGAAAAGAATCTGGAGCAACTAGGATAGAGGGGAATTACCAAGACCGTGTTCAGGTAAAATCAGAATCCGATAGATATTTCAGGGGTTTAGATGAGGGAAGTAGGGGTTTATCTTCAAGTGTTGGTTATGGCAGTGACCGATATGGTGTTACAGTAAGTCGGGATATGATTAGGTCATCAGCAAGTCATGAAGCAGCTAGAAACCAGAGGAGGGATGAGGCGCATAATGGAGGTAGGACTCTCTATCCCCGGAAAAAAGATGACTACCATCACTCTGAGATAGGAAAATATTTTGATCGTGGAAGGAGAGAGGAGAGGAATGATTCGAATTTAACACCTAGGAAACAAATACAGAAGAAGAGTGCTTTGCTAAGGCTTGAAACTCCAAGGTCCCATCAAAACGGCAGAGAGAATGATTGGTCTCGGCATCATACTCCTTATAGTGGGAAAAAGTTCAACTCTAACTCGTTTAGGGGTAAAGAACAATTGGGTCATTCTGATCGTGGATTGGTGGAGAAGCAAAGGAGGAGAACTCCAGTTGATCTTGATGTTTCATTTAAATCGAATCTTCTGGTAGCTAAGCCCGTAGCATCACCTACAAGTGCAGGCATCCACCCAAGCCGATCTGTGACACCTAGGTCTAGTAAAGCTAGAAGAGCATTGGTGCCTGATAAAAATGAGAAAGCTCCAGTAACTGAAGGTAATGGAAAGTTGAGAACACCTTTGTCAGATGGGGCATCTGTTCCTGAAGGCTCCAGACAATCTACAAGGCAAACTACCGCATCTGAAACTGAAAAGAAACCTGATAATCACTCATCCCTGTCTTCCAATGATGCCGGGGGTCTGAACGAGGGTAGTTTTGTTGACGGTGTCGTTCAGGACAGCAAAGTCAAAATTAGCGATGGAGGCATTGAAACTTCCACTCATGATAGTGAAGCAAAAGTTTGTAGTACTGTACATGCTGCGGAAAAGATCTCTAGTTTTTGTGAGGCTTTGAATGAGGCCAAGGATGACTCGAATGCCGAACATGATAGCAATATGGAGGTTTGCTCCGCTGAAGAAGATATTATTGATGGAGACGAAAGTATAGTGAAGTCTCATGAAGATATGTTGGACAGAAAGGGCACTGGTTGTAATGCTGGCGAAGCTCTTATGCCGAAGGTCATGGAGAAGGAAGAAATCGTGAAGACGAATACAAAACTCAATATGTCTCCTATTATATTACCTGTATCATGGCCAACAGCTGCTGATCATCCTGGGTCTTCTGAAGGAGGAGTTCATTTTGCTGGTAAGTTCATGTGTAATGTTGGGTATCAACCTTGTGAAGATGAGGACATGGATTGCACACCATCACCAGTGAGGAAGGTGAATACTGGGTTAGAAGAAAGGAAATCCATTGGTTCATCTGTTGGATCTTTGGGTTATAGAGAAAAGGATTTTGAGAAGTCACCTCTAGACGCATCCATCTATTGTAATAGCGACTACCCTGATGAGCAGGTGTTGGCGAAGTCAGATAGTGGTGGTATTGAAGATGACAACAATGGGATCAGTACGAATGTAGATTCCTTGTCTGAGTTGTCTCCTGAAGATGACTCCTCTACCGTTCGCCCCAAGGGTCTGGTTTCCTCTGTCTCTCTGGATGTTGCTAATGTTTCAATGGATCTTGCTGATGCAAATAATAGTGTTTCAGGGGATCTCGCTAATGCTAACAGTTTCACCGTTGGGACATACCGCAGTACTATGGTCACGTCACCTGATATCAATGTAGTTTTCCAGGTGGAAAGTAAAGATCTTCCTCATTGTGAAGACACGGTCAATTCATCAGTTGAGAATGTTAGCGAAAAAGAATCCATGGAACCTACGCCTCTTAATAGTGCTGCAGAAATGGCTTACAATCCGGACAGTGACGAAGGTAAAAATGCTTGTGATAATGGTACTTCTTCATCTCTGACAAAGGTTGCAGTAAAGGAATCATCAAATGTTCTGCCTGTGGAGAAAACTACTGGCTGTTCACGTAGCGATGAATCAGATTTAGCTATGGCAGTACCATCTGAGGTATGTATTGAAAATGTGAGCACTGAGAAAGTTGTGCCTGATGAAGATCTGGGTTTAGCATCTCATCATCCTGCAGAAATTCCTTCTGTAGATCAGTTTAGTGGTTTAGATAGTACAGGTTTGAAAGCTTGTTTATCGGAGCCAAATGTTTCTCTTAACAAAGATATCACTGATGGTGCAAGCGACTGCATTGTTGAGCAAGACGGTAGCCAAAATGCGTCCTTATTTTGTGATAAACTACCTAGCTCTTCTGTGACCGTAATTGATACGAATCTTGCAATTAAAATTATTGGCATGTCTGGTAGTGAAACGGTTACTGATGCGGATTCTGGCATCCTTGAAAGTCAACCATGTTCAACAGAATGCGAGTTGTTGCCCGAAGATCGTTTGGAATGTGGATCATCGGGTGCAATTGGTTCTCACTGGAATCTCTCTATGGGTAAAAATCTGGAAAAAGATTCTTCAAGGGTCAGTTCTTGCATAGTATCTGATAGTTCTGTCAGTCCATGTCATATTTCTCCCATGGCGGCAGTGAATGAGCAGATACAAAACAAAACATCTATTCAAGCTAACTACAGTGATTCTCAAGGTGACTTCATGCATAAGGAAAATAGTCAAGAAGAGAAAACAAAGCCTTCTAGTGGAACTTCTAAATACAGAACTCTGGGAACTGATACTATTGCTGTGAGTGGGGATTCAGTGATTCCATGTAATTCTTTATCCAGCTCACCAAGGCGGAGCTTCAGACAGATACGAAGTGAAGTTCATGTTGCTGCTATGGTTGATGAAACTAGCAAAGGTAAAGAGAAACCCAAGCCTTCTGGTGGTACTGCTAAGTACAGAACTCCAGGAACTAATATTGTTGCTGTTAGCGGGGATTCTATGTCCCCATGTGATTCTCTTTCCAGCTCACCAAGGTTGTACAGACAGATACGGAGTGAAATTCATGTTGCTTCTATGGTTGATGAAACTAGCAAATATAAAGAGAAAACAAAGCCATCTGGTGAAACTACTATATACAATACTTCGGAAACTGATACTGTTGCTGTTGGTGGGGATTCAGTTTTCCCATGTGATTCTTTATCCAGCTCACCGAGGCTGAGCTTCAGGCTGATACGGAGTGAAATTCGTGGTGCTGCTATGGTTGATGAAACTAGCAAAGTTAAAGAAAGTCAAAAAGAAAATATTCTTTTAGATACTTTACAAGAGCAAGTCATGACTTCCCATGAGTTAACCCAGCCAAGTAGTTCTTTTGCTCATTATCCTTGCTTAGGTAAACCATCATCTGGTGCAGATGTCGATTCTTATGTCCATACCATGTCAAAGTACCCTGGTGGTGATTTAGTTGAGAAGCCCAATGGTGATTCAATAGAGAAGCTGACTGATGTAACATCTGATGTTGTCTCTCAAGGAAAATACTCAGCAAACAATGTTAAGACTGATATATTTGAAGGTGAAATATTGTCATCTGATGGAAAATTTTATGGAACAGAATTTCTTGGTGATTCAGGTGTTCGTCTGTCCAGATCATACTCACATGCGGATGGTAAAGTTGGATTGATACATGTCAAAGATCACGTAGTCTCTGTGCCACATCGGGATTCCAAAAGTAAGACATCTCTGATTTCTAGGTATGAAATAGAAGAGCGGAAAAAGAAGTCCAATTATTCTACTCAGAAAGATGCTAACCCTCCAATTCGTACCACAAAGCGTCACACTTGGCATCGAAAGTCCGATTCTGCCTCTCCTTTTGTAGCTGCCAAGCCTTTGTCGTCGGCTTTTTCTACACAACAAAAGTTTCCCGTAGTGACTGCCCAGTCTAGTAGTAGTAGTTACGTACGTAAAGGGAATAGTCTTCTTCGAAAACCCTCAAATGATTCTCCTGGTGTTGCTCTTGAAATGCCTCCATCTGCCATTCAGTTGAACCGTTTCATTGTTGAAGACAAAAGCATGAGATCTGCCAGTAAGGTTGATGTGGATAACGCTTCTTTTCTTGTTAAAACAGCAGAAATACCCACTCTTGAGAGGCAGTCAAAACCTCCCTCAGACAGCAGCACCTCCAAAGTATCAAATGCCACTGCTACTTCTTCAGGAAAACGTGTGTTATCTTACAGCATGGATCACCTCAACACTGGTTTACCTGAGTCTATCATGGATTCTGCTTCATCTGGAGAAGCTAATGTTCCACACTCTGGTGGGGATACATTCAAGACATCTGACACAGTAATTCAGACAGGTTATGCTTCTGATTGCCAGCAGGAGAGAAATCCGCCTAAATTAGATTCTTCAAATTTGAAGAGAATGGTATATGTCAAAAGGAAGGCAAATCAATTGGTTGCAGCTTCAGATATTCATGGTGCGAGTAAGAGCCAGATTCCTCCCTCTGATGGCTACTTCAAGCGCAGTAAAAATCAGCTAGTAAGGAATTCAGAGAGCCGTGTACACTCACCTGATGATGCATTAGACTCACGAGCAGCTGCAACCATTGTTTCTGAAAGATCATCTAGCATGGCATTCTCCGAATCTGGTATGTAAAGCAAAGGAAATATCTGTCAGCGCTGTTTGAGCAACCACTGTTTCACTTGTATATGTTTTTGCGGTTTTGCATCCATAACCAGATGCGAGAAATGAAGTTATTGGTCCTCTTTTTTATTTGCAGCTGCCACGAGACCATATAAACAGTCAAAATTTTCTCTGGTTTGGACGCAAAATGATCCACAGTCAAGAATGCCCAGAAGTCACATGCGCTATCAGAGGATCTTGCCGCAACTTGTTCCTTGGAAAAGAGTGACATACTGGAGAAGATTAATGAATTCAGTGTCCGCTGTGCGAAGTGGTTCTTTTTCCAACATCAGGTATCTAGCATCTAATGTACTCATATTCCTTGTGTGTTTGCAAACTTGATGACAGGGCATTCTAATCTTCAGCCAAAAGTTGTCGATGATGAGGAAGAGACATACAGTTTACACAAGATCAACTAGTGGGTATTCACTTAGGAAATCCAAGGTATTTAGTATTGGTGGGTCGCATTTAAAATGGTCCAAGTCCATTGAGAGAGACTCAAGAAAAGCTAATGAGGTTAGTTGCTTCACTGAAGTGTCTTCGGCCTGTCTGTGGAAGAATTGCTTTTTAGCACAATTGAAAGTAGTGTGGACAACTCTTAAATTGTACTCCCCTATATGTACAGGAAGCCACCTTGGCTGTGGCTGAATTTGCAAAGAAAGGAAGTGAAAAGCACTCTGGACAAAGGAATATTAGGACGACAAGCAGAAACCACCTGGCACGTAAGTGGTTCACGATAAGTATGATATCTGGAGGAATTTATTCTATTCTTGGAAAGGCCTCCTGGCCAGTATGTACAAAGCTTCAACTCCATTTATCTTGGACTGCTGTTTTTTTTAGATACTCGGATGACTTTATTTCAGAAAACCTCAAGGTTTTCTCTTATCAACTTTTGTTCTTCAGGAGAGCGCGTTTTCAGGATTGGTTCCCTTCGCTATAAAATGGACTCTTCAAGGCGAACTCTTCAGAGAATATCTGGTAGGATATCCTAAAGTTAAAACACGCATGAACGCTATAGTTTGGTAGATGAGCATTGGATATACGAAGACTGTTAAAAACAAAAAGAGGATATACGAAGACTTATTATTTTTCTCTGATCAAAGTAGGATTTTAGAGAAGCAAGGATGTAGGCTCGTGTGATTAGGAAACAGAAACGTCGAGCTGGGACAAAAGTCAGCGTTAGTGAGCCGTTATCAAATAGCTAGAGTTTCTTTTTGCATAGTATACACACACACGCACATGTATTAGATCCTGGTTACTCCTCTAGGTCCTTGATGAGTCTCAACTCTCACCCAAGGTTTTGACCGGATACGAAAACTCTCTAAGCTTGGAACTGTTAGTTTTCCATTAGTTGCACGAACGGCTTGGCCGCATGTATCTCTCCTGAGCTAAGACATGATTATTTTTGGCAGATGTTGATACGCCTTGCTCTGGACCTTCTGAAAATGGGAAAGGTGCAAAAAGACCGTTCATCCCAAAGAGACTGGTGATAGGCAATGAAGAGTATGTAATTCTCGATGCAAATTTGTCTAATTTCACTCCGCATATGGATCATCAGTCATTTGGATTCAATTTTTTAGATATGTTCGTGTGGGAAACGGTAACCAGCTTGTCAGAGATCCAAAGAAACGAACTCGTGCTTTGGCTAATGAGAAGGTCAGGTGGAGCCTGCACAATGCCCGGTTGCGGTTGGCTAAAAAGAAGAAGTACTGCCAGTTTTTCACAAGATTCGGGAAATGCAACAAAGATGACGGAAAATGTCCCTATGTTCATGACCCCTCGAAAATTGCAGTCTGCACCAAGTTTTTGAATGGACTTTGTGCCAATGCAAATTGCAAATTGACTCACAAGGTTGTCCTTACTAAGTCATTGCTACAAGATTTTGCTTCATAGAAATCTCTAACTACCTAACTTATTTCTTCCACAGGTCATTCCAGAAAGGATGCCTGACTGTTCTTATTTTCTGCAAGGTAAGATTTTCCACGGTACTTAGATCCTATTGCGGCTACGCAAAATACTAATACCTATAACGCAGGCCTATGCAACAACGAGGCATGTCCATATAGGCATGTGCATGTCAACCCGAGTGCCGCTATATGCGATGGGTTTTTAAAAGGATACTGTTCAGACGGAGACGAGGTAAGGGTTTCAACTTAGAATACACACGTTTGCAACTGGCGCATCTATTGCTTGTTGAGATGCATATGCACGTTTCTTTATGCAATACTAGTAACTCTTTAAGCGACCTCGATCCTATAAAATTGACTCTAATAGCATGCTGAGTAATACCACAAGGAGTATAAGGGAAAGAGATATCCTCCCTCTCTGGCTTTATGTCACACATATTACTTATCCCTCTCAATTCGCTCACAAACACTTGATGTTAAGATTGCGGATTGTCTCTACATAATGGAAACAGTGTCGGAAGAAGCATTCCTACATCTGCCCAGTTTTTGAAGCCACGGGATCATGCTCTCAAGGATCGAAATGCAAGCTCCACCACCCCAAGAACCAAAGCAAAGGAAGAAAGAGGAAACGACCAAGCGAACCATCAGAGAAAAATTCACGTGGGCGTTACTTTGGTTCACTTCGCAATGTCTTTTCCGAGTCTGAGCCAATGATAGTCGATAGGCGCTCTACTGACAGTGAAGATTTTGGAATGGAAGGCCTCGACTTCATATTTCTTGGCGCTAGTGAGTTTGAAGCCAGTGATAACAATGATCCAGCCACCGAGCAATCCATCTCCAGTGATAATGAAGCAGCGGTTTCTATACACAATCTGATCAGACCAGTAGCTTTGATGCAGTAAGAAGGCAACTACCAGTTTTTTTTTTTGGTGAATGGAAAGGTAAGCTTTCTCTGTTAGAAATACAAACTATACGTCCTCTGATACGTTCTTTTGTAGTTTTTAGGGAGTTAGCTTTTTTGTTATCTTCTATATATGCGTTCTACAGAGAAGAATTGTACATATTTATCTGTAAATGATCCCCAAAAATGGAATACATTTGTTTTTGTTAGTATCTCATCCCTTTTTGATAAGTTCGCTTGGAAATTTTATTGCACTTGAGAAGGCATATAGTAGAGGTAATCACATAGCAGAACCGGAAGCCACTGGGGCAGTAGTCTTGAGTCATGAACTACTATTATCACACAATGATAAAAGTTAATTTTACACAAATAACAGCAAGTCCCCTCGAACTTATTTCATGAAACAACAAAAGGTCTCTCGCGTATTCTAATTATTTTACCATGGAACTGGAATCTGTCACTCTTTCGTCAGAACTCAAGTGCAGATACTCATTTATCAGGGACATCTGATCTTCATACATTCACGATTGCGCCAAGGTTTAAATGCATCATGACGAGCCACATTCTGAGAAACAATAAAGAGGGTAAATAACCCAATGGACAGCTCTATGCGGCAAGAAGACAAGTTTTCAGAGTAAGCGAATTGCATATGAACAACAAATTATCTTTACTAGTTCGAAGGATTGAAATAACAACAGATAAACAAATCACTTTTACCTTTAAGTAAAAGATAAACCCGCGCAACAGGTTCAAAGCTCTATGGCGGCGATCCTTTTCACGTAAATATTCAACCTCCCTTTGCAATTCTGTGAAATTAAACCATACCAAAACTTAATATGAAGATAAATAACACTTCCCCTTTAAGAGGTAAATTTCAAAGTTTGTTGTTGTTTGGAATCAGAAACTAGCCTTTCATTTAACATATCAATTAATTTATTTATTTATCGATGTTGTTTCTTAACGATAGTTGAGCAAAGCCTAAAACTCCAAGAACATGTTTGCCAGCTTCTGTCTGGTAACTTACTTGGATACATATCGAGATATGAAGGTCTCGTTTTATCCGTAGGTGTATAACTAAGATCTCTTCCATCTCGTAGTTCCAAACATCTGGTCGACGCTCTACACACTGATGCTTCATTGTATAGTTCATTGAACTCCTCTTCATTGTATGGCTGCTTCAGAACATTCATTATCTCCTTCTTAAACCAGGAATTGGTTTGATCAACACTCCCTTCTTCCAAATCCTTTTTAAAAATCCAACAAAAGATAATGTCAACACATAAAGATTGAAAGAAAAAAAAGAAAAAGAAGAGAAAGAGGAATGTGTTCGAGGCAAAAGCAAAGGTGAATGAAGGTAATACGTACAACAACTTTATAACTTTTTGATGGCACAAACGGAGAATCCTCTTCATCCATAAACGGACGATCTCCAACCGCGATAATATCAGAATCAGACAAAGACATTGTATCTTCCTCACACTTAACCTGTATCTCTTTTTCAGGGTTAGTTCTTGAACTTTTCGACTTTTCCACTAACGATTTAAGATAAAATCTGTAACTCTCATCAGGTATCATTTGTCCATCCGAGTTTTTCTTCTTGCGAGCTTCGACATTGTGTTGTGAGTTTCTTCTTTTCACACGACTTGTAATAACCCTTGCCTCAACACTCTTCTCAGTCGCAGCAGGACTCTTCTCTCTTCGCCTCAATTCGGGAACCGCTTCTTTCCTTGTCTTCCTCTTACTTGTCTTTCTCGACTCAACATTCTTCTTGGTCACACGAATAGTGTTTCCATCTTCTCTACTCCTCTGCTTATTTGTAACCGCTTTGAATACGCGATTGTCGTATCCTCCGTTATCTACATCATACCTAAGAGACCTCAGCGGATTGTCTCTCATGTATGAATCTCCGTCTTCTCTAAAACTATCCAACAACTTCATACACTGATGATCAATATTGGTGTTATCCCAACCATCAGCATCATCATTAGCAGCACAAAAATGCCGTTGCATGTTGGAAGGATTAGCTTCGCCAGACTTTATTGAAGTGTCAGTTTGCTCAGTATCCATCATACACTCATCGTCATTGTCTAAGTCCATCATAATAGGCTCCTTCTTCACAGGTCTCATTGCAGAATTCTTCAAATTTCCCAATTCAATCACTTTTTTTTGCCAAAGCACATAACAAGCACTCTAAACAAAACAACAAACGGATATAATTCAGATTCCTTAAATTTTCATAATGCTTAACTAAAAACTCAAATTCTAGTTGCAACTTCTGTATGACTGTATCATGATTTTTCCGAGTATGCAACAAATAGAGTAGCAAATGGGCACATGCAGGTGTAGTTTCGAAAAAGACCACGAAATAAGGAAGTAGAGTGAGTGGAAATGGATCGATCACTTACAGTACAATCTCTATAAATATCTCAGCAGCCAAACAAAGAACGAGAGAGGGCCGGAAGAGGAGAATCAGTAAAATGAGAATTTCGTTCAAGAAAACAAAACCCTAAATTTAGTGGCTAGAAAAATCAATTTCACTTATCTCATCGGAGATATCGTCATGGCTCCCACTCCAAAGTGTACCTCACTGTAGACCTGTGGAGCCATTAATAAAGCGCGAAATCGAGAAGAGAGCGTTTCCGCTTTCGTCGCTTCTCATTATTATTCATTTTGGGCTGAAATAAATAATAAGGCCCGAATATGTAAATTGGGCTTAGATTCTGTTCTTCACTACAATGTCTACTGTATATAAAAGCAGCTTGAATTTTGTTCATTATTTTGTTATTACCATAAAATGAAAAAAAAACAAAATTGATGGATTTTTGTTCATTATTTATTATGGACTATAGTTTTCCTCTTATTTTTACATATCCACATAAAAATATAATACTGTCGTTTTTTCCCCACACAGAGAAAATCAATTGAAAAATGTCCATGAGAATGTATGTGGCCGGTGATAAAATATCTAATAAATGTGGACCGTGTTAATGCCACAGAACTCAAGAACATTACCGAACATTCCATATGTCAAAATCATATGAGGCCAAGTGGCCAACACACTCTACTACATACTATCTATCAAAATTCTATTTAAGTTTTAATTATAATAGACTAATAAGCTTCAAGTATCATCAAGAAATTCTAATGTTTTTTTATTGATCATACATTATGCAAAAAAAACAAAGATAAATATAAAATATTCCGAGGCCAGAGTTAGACGAATCATAGCTGAACGTTTTTCGCACACAATCAGATATGTATGTCATAGTTGACAAATAAATAAATAAAATATATAAATGTCATATTTTGATGACTTTTCTTCTAGAATCGTCATTTTTCAGAAAAGCACTTTCGCGGAAATTTCCTCCGATTCCGTCCACAAGTACACCTTACGCATCCGTACACAATCATCATATGTATTATAAATAGAGCTGTATGTGTACAATGTCTATAGTCTATAGAAAATCAAGCTTGACACTTTCTCAAGAAAACAGATCATCCATTTTCACCCAACATAACTAAAAGGTCCAAAACTACGTACACGTCTCTTGATCAGAAACAGAGATATGGATTGTTCATTCATAAGCACAAACGATCTCCGAAGAATGTTCGAGAAGCTCGACAAGAACCAAGACGGACTCGTGACCCTCCACGAGCTCCATTGGATTCTCGAGAGACTCGGTTGGTCCGAACACACCCCCGAAGAGCTCGAACTGATCGTTGGAAAACAGAGCCTCGATTTAGACGAGTTCCTTCGGTTCTACTACGACGCCGTTTCGAGTAGCAAAGGAACGACGAACGATAATGTTGATGATGAAGCGATTGTGAGGGCGTTTAATGTGTTCGATGTGGACGGAGATGGTTATATTTCGTCTGAGGAGCTTCGAACGGTGTTGGAACGGCTCGGATTCGATGAGGAGGCAAAGGCTTGGGATTGTGGGAGAATGATTCGACTTCATGACAAGAATCTTGATGGTGTTATTGATTTTCAAGAGTTCAAGAACATGATGTTACATGTCGTCCAATGATAATATTTTACATATTATTATGTGATATGTCTATGTAGTCCATGCGACATATTTGGTGTATTATGGTGTAAATTCTGTAAAGTATATATATCCTTATGCGATGTGTTAATGTATAAACCAAAAATATGTCTGTTACGTTATAATCGGGGAAATTAAAAGTTTTAAAAAACCTCTATATTTGCGTAATTCACCTCGGAAAAACCCAAACGTCGAAACCACGAGCGATTAAATGGTGATCTGAGAATTTTTGGATAAAAAATTAAAAATAGGTCTGAAAAATAAATTTGAGGATTTTGGGTATGTTAAAGAAATTTGGAGATTTATGTTTTGAAACAGCGACCGGAAAAAAGATTTAAAATCTATTAAACGGAACTGGTACGTGATTTATTTTTCGACCAGTAAAACATGGAAATCGTTTTGGTTAATTAGATAACTTTCAAGCTATTCAATAGTCTCACTATGTTTATCAGTATACACCGATTCAATTTATAAGTATATACACACCCATGCATTGCATTATAAAATATTTTCATGTCTTCTATCATTTTCCTATTTCATTTATGGGCTTTTAAGTAAAATAGCAGCAGATTTACAATTGATATAACTTACACATAAGAGTTTTCTTGTGATAATTACAGATAAAATGTTATGGAAACAGTGAAAATGCCAACATTAATATTCTTGGAAAACAAAACTGCAAGAGCTTAAACAAAGTTATTCCAAACAATAGTAGATTATAAATTAGCATCAAATCATCATTTTTGACACATCTTAAAGATCAACTTTATTCTGTACCATGCATTATTATATGAATATTAGCCCTATTGCAACCCTTTTTAAAGAAACTGCTCACGTACAGTGGCGGAGCTAGGAATTGTTTTCATTGGGGACAAATGAAAATATCTATAATTTTATGAGTGAGGGCATTAGTATTATGCTTTAATAAATTATATCAATTTTAAAAATTTATTGGGGGCAAATGACCCCATCTTAACACATGTGACTCCGCCACTGCCGTATAACTTCATGTCGTTATTAATATTTTGAGTAGCAGTTTGCAATTAGTTGAAGAAAAATAAAATCGCAAAAGAGAATGCATGGCTGAATGCCTGAATCATAAAAATATATGAAAACTGATGACAGAGCTAGAGAATGTGAAAAGATGACATTTCTTTCCTTCTAATTTTCTGACTTTTTTGATCTGATACTAGTATAGTTAGATTTATGCATACCATGTCATTTTGTTTATTGTTTAAAAATTAAAACAAAAGAAACTGAATATATCTTTGTAATCATTCGGGCATTGGATCTTGTAATTGTGTAAATCATTGATCTTTGAAGTCTGAACTACCGTTGCCTTACTATTTTGCTTTTGCTTTTTGTTTTATAGTGATTGCAATTTGTGGTACGCGATAAGCAATACTTGTTACAAAAAGGAAAAAAAAAATCATTGGTACTGTCTACGCGTAGATTATCTGCGATGCATTAAGTTTAAGTAAAGTGAAACTAAATAGACAATAATTAGAGAGAGTGGTGGGAAGTGTGATACGGCCACTTTTAGCCTCGTTCACTTTCTGATATTCAGAACCGATCATAAACATATTTTATGAGGCAGTTTGTATGGGGATCCCAATCTTAAAAGGACACTTCAAAAAAAAGTGTGTAAATAAAACATGATAATTTTGCATGTCATTTTTGTTATGTTTTGCTTATATTTTGCATATTTTTAGCATACATTATGCTTATTTTTGTCAATTTATTTTCTTTCTCTTTCTCTCAAATTGTTATATTAGTTATGCATCGATAGAAATTTAATTAAAAATAAACTATTATTAAGTTACAAACAAAATTGATTTGATGATGTAAAACAAAAAAAAATATATATATATATATATAAATTTGACATTTGATTTCATTGTTAAAAAAGAGAGATGAGTTATTTAATCGAATATTCTCCAAGTTAGCAATTCTTAAACTTTTGATATTTGTTGATATGTTTAAATTATAGTTTATTAATTATTATGGTTTTTATTTTAAAATTATGACGTAAAAATTGTATTATTATTATTTTGTATAAAGCCTTAAAAAACAGGTCATGCTAATATGCTGCTTTAGACTAAGAACTGCTTTTCTAAGATATGCAATCTTGTATATAGAAAGCATACCCAAAGTCTACGAAACAAAAAGCTACCATCAACTGGATCCTAGCGTCCAAGTATCTGATTTGGCCCAGATCAGGTTCGTGGTGGGAATGTATGAGACCAACGACCTCAACACTACTGAAGCCGGATGACAGGTTTGTGTTAAATCGAAAACAATGACATTAATTTGTTCATGGCACTACTTTCTACTTACTTATATTAGGTATGCAAATGCCAAAAGAATAACCATCTTATTTTACATTTCTACTGATTAGGTTTACCCGAATAGATCATAGTGACAACCATGTCAACCAACCTAGAATATTTATGTAATGGACGATGCATTTTTAATTCCCTATCAAATATAATTTCTACTTCTTATTAATAGGATATTGCAACTAATTACGCTATATATAAACAACAAACTTTAGTATGAAAAAGATTGCAGTTGTGTGCGAACTTTATAATACAGACATACAGTGATGCTTATTGATAGCATAGATCCTGAATTGGATATTTGGTTCATATGATTTGTATTGTGTGTTTCTAATTGGAAGCTTCTTATATCTTCTTGTTAAACCAGACAATACTTGGTTTTTCTTGGCTAGATATATATGGTACACCCGGTTGAGTAAAATTCTCATTTCCATGAAATCTATAAATTATAAGGATCCTAATTCTATACATGGTGCTACAAACTTGATAAGCATATGTATTTATTTTCTGAAGATGACATATGTAAATGTAACCTTTTTAATTGAAACTTGACCATGTGAGTAATAAGTATTTATTAAAGAAAAAACTAAAAATTGCATTTAAAATGGCAAAACCTTCATGATGCCAATTTTGGCAAGTACATTGGCATTCGAATCTATGAATATGTGCAGTTAATGAATACATATGTGTTGGTGATGCATAGTTTCATTAAATATGGATGACTTCTAAACTACCCAATTTTGTCCACATTAAATCATTTCACCATCCACTATACCAATCTTCATCTCTTTGAACTTAAAAGTTTTTGTGTACACTCACAGTCACAGTGTCACATGCATGAATCACTCAGCGGTTGACCAATGTTGATAACACCAAACTTTTTGATATACAATTTGCTTCTTCTTAATCAAATTTTCTTTTGCGAGTGTATATTATATATATATATAGGTAGAAAGTTTTTATTCAGTAAATTTATAAATATATCAGAACTTCAAAGTTGTAACAGTTCCAAAATGTTTCCAGAATTTTTACTCTTACCACTTATTTAAATTCTGATTCACACATTTTTTGGTAGATTTTAAGTTGAGAGTTTCAATTGTTTCCTCCATATTTATTGATTACTAATATCAAGGGGCATCCCTGTAAAAATGAACAAGTTGTACTTTAGTTATGTTCTTTCTTATTTAAGAGATCTTAGTTATTGTTAAGTTTCATGGGCTTCTAACTTAAAACCAATTGGCGATAAGTGGAGAGGCCCAAATCTCTTATATACTAGTGTTAAACTGTTAATCCCTTTAAACTTCCGATGTGGAATTCTTCTTCGCGCATCTGCCGAATTGACCCTCACTGCTTGGTGTGATTCAGACTGGGGTGCGTGTCCAATTACGCGACGATCTTTAACAGGTTGGTTCATTCAACTTGGTGGTTCTCCTTTGTCGTGAAAAACACATAAACATGTTGTGGTCTCTCGTTCTTCGACCGAAGCAGAGTATCGCGCCATGGCTGATACTGTTTGCGAGGTTCTTTGGCTTCGGGAGTTGCTGCCAGCGTTAGGAATTACCTGCTCCGAATCGACTGTCATCCATTCTGATAGTTTGTCTGCCATTAATCTAGCAAAGAATCATATTTATCATGCACGAACTAAGCACGTTGAACTGGACTGTCATTTCATCCGTGATGAGATTCTTCGAGGTATGATATTCACGAAACATGTCTCTACTACTTCTCAGCTTGCTGATATTATGACTAAAGTTTTGGGACGTAAGGAATTTGAGGATTTCTTGACAAGCTGGGTGTTCGTAACCTCCACACGCCAACTTTGAGGAGGGGTATTGGGCCGATATAAGCATGTTTCACAAATTGGATGTGAATTAATCCCACATCGATTGTTTTGTATATTAGTGTAGTTATGTTACTTGAATATAAGACATTACCTTCATAACTTGAGCAATAAGAAAAACCTATTTACAACATCTAAGGTTTCTTGACAGTTATAATAGTAATCTTGTCGTTTGATGGACTATGATTTAAAATAAGTTAACTCTTATTTTCGTATAAAAAATATCTTCAGCTAGAAATTGGGTTTGATGTGCTATCCATCTTGCACTTTTAGAGTTCAAAGTTAGCGATTACCAAAATGAATATGGTTGATGTAAAGGAAAAAATGAATTTTAGATGTGCTTAGATAGGATCGCACGGTCAGGTATTAAATAATGTACAAGACTGCAGTGGGTCATCCAAAATATATATAATAATGGTTGTAACATTTACAGTGGTTCAGAAGTTTGGGGTACGTAGTCATATATATGCCCTCTGAATTGTTTGGGGTACTTAGTTAATTTTCTGAAGTAAAAAAAAAAATTAACACACAACACTGAAACTATATTATATATAAATGTCACAAAGTACAGGTCGCTCGACGTAGCGACCAATCCTCACTACCGAGTACTCCTAAACGTAAGCTAAACTAACACCATGTGCACGTTGACAGTAGAAATCAATGCTAACGTCAGCTAAACGAACATGGCTACTATGTATATAAGGTTTTCAAAGAGTTTTAAGATGAGTACCAAATGTAACAATATATACTAGTATCACGCCATAACTAATTTGATTACTAGTTATTTTTAAAGTATACGATCCATGAATCTTGCGTGCATAGTTCATTATCGTCTTAAACGGTATATAAATTACAATTACATATTTATTCTGCTATATATATTTGGAAAGAGGCTTTACCAAAAAAAAAAAAAAACAAGATTGGAAAGAGGAGCTAACTACTTCTTCGACTGTAGTTGAATCTTAACTTGTCGCCACAATCCTGGAAGCTTTATTAAATAGAGCGCGCGTCTTGTGTTAAGCTATATATTGTAAGTTGGTAAACGATGCCATTATTCAATACCCACATGGCCACATCCGATTTTAATTTTCTTGTAAGTTAAAATTTTCAAGTTGTGTAGGTGGCTATATATGTTGCTCTAATATTGTATTGTGTTACTAATTTAGTTGCTAATTCTATCAAAGAAAAACTTCTTTGTTTTCAAACTAAATCTCAATTATAACAACTAACAATGTTAATAATTAGTATAAATTAGACCCTTTAATTTGTTTTTAAACAGTGAGTCCATAGACAAATGTTTCTCTTTTTTTAACATAGGCACGGGCTTGCCCACATCCGATTTTCTTATAAACTCACAAATTTATTTCCAAAATAAATAAATAGAGATATCTTTTTTTCTATCAACCAAATTTAGTATTTTGATTAGTTAAGAAACTAAAGAAGATTTGTTTACTTCAATCCATCAAGTTGATTTCGTGGGCCATACGTAATCAATTATAGTTACAAAAAGAAAAGGAGACATAAACTCCCACATGACTTTGTACAATGTCGAAACCTCCCTTAAATTTTTTTATAAATACAAACACGAGTCTTTTCACAATCCGTATAACAAAGGAACGCATAATTAAGCAACAATAAAAACAATGGAACTCTTACTTCCACACCCTTCGAACTCAACACCTCTCACCGTCCTCGGCTTCTTAGACCGAGCCGCCTCCGTCTACGGTGATTGTCCGTCCGTCCTCCACTCCACAAACAACACCGTCCACACTTGGTCCGAAACACACAACCGCTGTCTCCGGATCGCGTCGGCCCTCACTTCCTCCTCTCTCGGGATTAACAAAGGCCAAGTCGTCTCCGTCGTGGGCCCCAACGTCCCTTCCGTTTACGAGCTTCAGTTTGCCGTGCCAATGTCCGGAGCCATCTTAAACAACATCAACCCGCGTTTGGACGCACACGCACTCTCTATCCTCCTGCGTCACAGCGAATCCAAGCTCGTTTTCGTCGACCAAAGCTCAATCTCTTTAGTCCTCGAAGCAGTCTCCTTCTTGGGACAACACGAGAAACCTCACCTCGTTCTCCTCAACGACGACGAGGAGAAAGATTCTTCGTCCGCTTCGGATTTTCTTGACACTTACGAAGGGATCATGGAGAGAGGAGACTCGAGGTTCAAGTGGATCCGTCCTCAAACGGAGTGGCAGCCAATGGTTCTTAACTACACTTCCGGAACGACGTCGTCTCCTAAAGGAGTTGTGCTTAGTCACAGAGCAATTTTCATGCTAACCGTTAGCTCCTTGCTTGACTGGTCTTTTCCTAACCGGGCGGTTTACTTGTGGACTTTACCGATGTTCCACGCCAACGGTTGGGGTTACACGTGGGGAACCGCGGCGGTTGGAGCCACCAATGTCTGCACGCGTAGAGTCGACGCGCCAACTATATACGACTTGATCGATAAGCACCACGTCACTCACATGTGTGCAGCACCGATGGTTCTCAACATGCTAACCAACTACCCTTCTCCTAAACCGCTAAATAACCCTGTTCAGGTACTAAATTTTATAACCGCCCGGTTTATTGGCGGTTTGAGTTCATTTTGGCTATTGACTTTGGTTTATTTAAGTTATCATTTAATAATCATTTGAGATTTTGAGTCATGGAACACTTTTGGTTTTGGATCAATTTTTCTCTGTTTTTGGTATTAAAAAAAAAATATTCGAATTCTGAAAACAGGTTATGACGGCCGGAGCTCCACCTCCGGCAACCATCATCTCCCGAGCAGAATCCCTCGGGTTCAATGTTGGTCATGGGTACGGTTTAACGGAAACCGGAGGCCCGGTTGTGTCATGTGCTTGGAAGCCAGAGTGGAACCATCTCGAACCATTGGAGAGAGCTGGACTGAAATCAAGACAAGGAGTGAGAACTATTGGATTTGCAGAAGTCGATGTTAGGAACCGGTTAACAGGAAAGAGCGTGGAACACGACGGAGTTTCTGTCGGAGAGATCGTTCTCAAAGGAGGATCGGTTATGCTGGGTTACTACAAAGACCCGGAAGGAACCGCGGCTTGTATGAGAGAAGACGGGTGGTTCTACACCGGAGACGTTGGGGTTATACACAAAGACGGTTACTTGGAGGTCAAGGACCGATCAAAAGATGTGATCATATGCGGAGGAGAGAACATAAGCAGCGCAGAGGTTGAGACGGTTCTGTATACAAATCCGGTGGTGAAGGAAGCTGCGGTGGTGGCTAAACCAGATAAGATGTGGGGAGAGACTCCGTGTGCTTTTGTGAGCTTGAAGTATGATCATAATGGTGATGGATCAGTGACTGAGAGAGAGATAAGGGAATTTTGTAAGACGAAGTTACCTAAGTATATGGTTCCGAGGAAAGTGATTTTTCAGGAGGAGCTTCCAAAGACATCTACTGGAAAGATTCAGAAGTTTCTTCTCAGACAAATGGCCAAGTCTCTGTCTTGAAGATCCGGACGTGGTATTAAGAATATGAACGAAATAAAGACTTATCTTTTGTGTTGTATTATTGTATTTGTACCCCCCTGAGAGGGGATTATTAGTTTCTAAATTTGATGAACCATGCTTGCTATTATTACTATTATTATAAGATTGGCAAAGAAAGATAACCTTCTCAACACATTATTACAAGTGTGGTTCCTGTAGGACACTTCTCCACTTATGTCTCTTTCTTTTGAGAAAAAAAAAAAAAAATCTTATCAACATAATTCAAACGAAATTTTCAACAGCTATAGGTGCTTAAACTAAGTAAAAACCCAAGAGACAATGAGAAATGCCCATCTCGTTGATTTCAGACTTAGGAGATGTATATGAAAAACTGTTTCAAAACAGAGTGTGATTCTAACTAATTTCAGAATAACCTATAGAACCAGAGTTATAGATTTCTACTTAAGTATGAGCGGTCTGTTCATACTTTAAGTTGAGTTATAGATTGGATTCGATAAATGCGATGTTCATCTTGTATTTTCTAGACTTTAATAAAGTTAGAGTAGAATGGTAAATTTGTAATGTACTTTAACAAATACCCTTAATAAAAAACCAAGTTCAGATTTGTATTTTAGTATAGATGGTACTGGTAAGGTCAATATTAACATTGTATTTTTTATAGAACTGTGAGCCTAATTTGTTAGTTGAACTTGATCCCAAACTTATGTAAACTTTATACTCGTTATTTTATGCATATCAACAAAACCTAACATTATAATTGACCTTGTTTGATTATAAATAAATGAAAGACACCATAAAGATTCTCTCATTCATTGGCTGATTTAAGTACTTTCGTATGTTAAGAGACCTCTTTTTCGGTTAAAGTATATACTTGGTTTTCTGAAGAAACGAAAAAGAAAGAAAATCAAACACACAACATTGAACTATATGTCCAGTTCAAAAAAAAAAAAAAAAACATTGAACAATATGTATCATGTATATAAATGTCACAAAGTACAAGTCGCTCGACGGTAGCGACCAAACCTCACAATCGAGTATTCATAAACGTAAGCGAAACTAACATCATGTGGACGTTGACAGTAGAAATCAATGCTAACGTCAGCTATACGAACATGGCTACTATGTATACATATATAAGAGCATGTACATCAGTGAACTCCTAAGAGAGGGGTTCACCAGAATATAATAATTTTTTTTTTGTTTTAGTTTTTCTGTTTTATTTAATTCGAAAATTATAATTTTCGACCAATCAGAATGCTCTATTTCGAGATGATACTGTCTCTTTAGGTTCGTCGGGATGATACTGTCTCTTCAAGATTAAACTCTTTTGTTTAAAAAGCTGTACCATGAACCCCTCTTGATCCTCTAATATACATGCTCTAAAGCCTTCAAAGAGTTTTCAGATGCTCCTCTAAGTACCAAATGTAAAAATACTACTAGTATTACGCTAGAATATGATAATTTGACTTACCCAAACTAATTTAATTACTAGCTAAATCTAAAGTATCCATGTATCATGCATGCCTAATTTATTATCGTCTTAACGATATATACATGTCAAATATTTGTTCTGCTATATTATATGATTATATATATATATATATGTATGGAAAGAGGTCTTATTTTAGATAACTACTTCTTCGACTGTAGTTGAATTTTATAACTTGTCGCCACAATCCTGGAAGCTTTAAATTGAGCGCGTTGTGTCAAACTATTGTAAGTTGGTAATACCCACCTCCAAGTTTCTTATTAACGCCCGAATTAATTATTTCCGAAAAATGAAGACATCTTTCTTTATTAACCAAATTTAGTATTTTGATAAGTTAAGAAACTAAAGAAGAATTGTTTACTTCATTTCATCAAGTTGATTTCGTGGGCCATACGTAATCAATTATAGTTACAAAAAGCAAAAAAAGACATAAACTCCAACACGTGCACAAAGTCGAAACGTCCCTTCAATATTCTATAAATACTAACCCCTATCGAGTGTTTTCACAAACTAAAAAGACATAAGCAAAAACTCTAACTATGGACGCACACGCACTCTCTGTCCTCCTGCGTCACAGCGAATCCAAGCTCGTTTTCGTCGACCACAATTCAATCTCCTTGGTACTCGAAGCAGTCTCGTCCTTGGGACAACACGAGAAACCTCACCATATATTTTTGGTGAGTGGAAAGGTAAACTTCTTTCCGTGAGAAAGACAATTATTGCATTCAATTCATTGGTCACTTGTATATAGCGAAATTCGCATAAAGAGGGTAAATGACCCAATGGACAACTCTATGCGGCAAGAAGATAAGTAAGTTTTCAGGGTAAGCGAGTTGCATATGAACAAAAAGAAAAGAATCTTTACTAGTTCGAAGGATTGAAATAACAGATAAACAGATCAGTTTTACCTTTAAATAAAAGATAAACCCGCGCAACAGGTTCAGAGCTCTATGGCGGCGATCCTTTTTACGAAAATAACACTTTCCCTAACTTTCTAAGAGGTAAATTTCAAAGTTTGTTTTTGTTTGGAGTGAGAAGCTAGTCTTTTCATTTAGCATATCAATTAATTTATTTCTTTAGCTAAAGTATATCAAAACTTGTTTGCTAGCTTCTGTCTGGTGACTTAGTTAGTTACTTGATTACATATCGAGATATGAAGGTCTTTGTAGATTCGTTGTATAACTATGATTTCATCCATCTCGTAGTTCTAAACATCTGGTCAACGCTCTACACATTGATGCTTCATTGTAAAATTCATTGGACTCCTCTTCATTGTATATGGCTGCTTCAGAACATTCATTATCTCCTTCTTAAACCAAAAATCGGGTTGATCACCACTCTCTTCTTCCAAATTATCCTTAAAAAAAAATCCAACAAAAGATTCATTCGAAAAAATTTAAGATGCAAATTGTCGTTGAACTTGATTGGATATGATTTCAAACCCTGCAAAAAAATTAACAAACGTAATATTTAATTTGATTTCTTTTCCAAATATTTTGGTTCGGGAATATGTTCGGATTTTTTTATACTATTAGTATTATATATAAGAGAAATAAAATCAAAGAAAAACTCAAACTAAAACTTGGCTCCGAATCTGTTTCAGATTTTCTTTTAAAGTATGTATACGCAATATTATATTATGCTATCAGTTTTCCCGTGTGTTATCTGCATTGACCTTAATGGGTTACCTACATCGTTTATGTTGCTTAGTTATTACTGAATTAGTGAATTCACAATCGATGTGTAGATTTTCTCAAATTATTCTAAGTATCTGTCTATTACTCTATTTTCTAGAACAAGTAGCTGTCTATTACGCAAACAAATCGTGTTCCATGACACTGTAAACAAATACCTAGCTAAAGGCAAAGAATTGTAATTGCTTGATAAAAAGGGAAAAAAAAGAAAAAAAAGACGCGATTACGCAATGATATATATAAGTTCTGGCCAACCTTAGGCCCATATTCATAATCACAAAACAAACAACCAGCACCATGAGTCTTATGCTTTAAACTCGATAGTTTTCATTTGCTCAATTTCGACAATATTATCTTGTCATTTTTTTTATATACATAATATTATATCTTTTTCAAATTGTAATGCAGGAAACGCCAACCGATATGGTACAAAAAGAGGAAGAACATGAACATGGCTGGCAAGTTTGGCACGCAAATGGAGCAAAATGTCCCCAGGGATCCATTCCGATACGGAGGTTTGCTGCCAACGCAGTTCCTAGCACCGCCGCGAATAGGGCCACTAAAGGACACCAGGCAGAATTTAACTATTTAATTAAGCCTAATAAACAGTTATTATCGGTAAAAATACTATATAAGCACTATATATAATATAACATTTCAATCAGGAAAAAAAAACCTTACGATGTCATTTTTAATTTACATATATCTCCATTATAACAGATGTTTTCTTTGTCGACTCCAACAGCCATATATATTTATACTTTAACATAGATTTATGAGAAATTAATATATTTTCTTTTTTGAAAGAAGAGAAATCAAAGTTATCTAAAGATGCTTTTATATCCCTAGAGTCTCTTGTAAAAGTGGTGATCAAGCATACTCTGATTAGAGGCATGTTTCTTTGGCTAAAAAAAAGTGTAACAAATGTAATATCTGTAAAACCGAAATAAAAAGAAAGAAATAACGTATGTTGCAAAGATGTCGATCTGTTCACGAAAATATTAGAAATTATTTATATGTTTATACGATCATAAAGAATAAACATAACATGTGTTGTACTTCAATTTTTGATCGTGGACACAACAGTATGCATTCGCTTTTGTGGAAAGCATACCAAAGGTCTACGGAACAAAGGCGACGATCAATGTATGGGATCCTGTTGTTGAAGCCCCGGACGACTTCAGCCTGGCCCAGATCTGGCTTGCGGCGGGATGTGCGAGACCAATGATCTCAACACGATTGAGGCGGGATGGCAGGTTCGTCTACGAATTTATATATTTTTTGCTTTTGTTTTTAAAATGAATACGTATGCAAATGACTAACAATAAAAGTTTATCATTCTACTATTTAGGTTTACCCGAACCGATATGGTGACAACCAACCAAGATTGTTTACGTTTTGGACGGTACGTTCCCTATCAAACATAATTAAAAAAATTATTATTATTATGACATTTGCAAAACTAATTAAAATTAATTAAAATTATTATTCTGCTTATTATTATTATCGGTAAAAATACCATATAAACACAATATATAATATAACCATTTCAATCAGGACAAAAAACAGTTATTGTAGGTAAAAATACTATATAAACACTATATATATATATATATATAATATAACCATTGCATGTCATTTTTTGCTATGTTTTTGCTTCTATTCTCCATATTTTTGGCATACATTATGCTTATTTTTTTAGTCCTCTATTTTTCGACACATACTTATGTTGTGGCAACAATTTAACGAGTCAATAATATCGACTGATAATTTATAACAATTCAGCCTTGATCGAATTAAACCAAAAGACATCAATACCATCAAACATACTTTAATCGAGGTTTTTTAGATAAAATTTTACTATTTTGATAAAAATTTCAAATACTGTATATCATAATTTACAAAAAAACAGTTTAATTCTTTTGATTTCT